CTTTCCTGACATCAGGGTATTTTCCAGGGATTCTTCTCTTCTCATGAGATTGCCAAAGTATTGGAGCCTCAGCTTCAGGATCTGTCCTTCCAGTGAGCACTCAGGGTTGATTTCCTTCGAAATGGATAGATTTGTTCTCCTTGCAGTCCAGGGGACTCTCAAGAGTCTCCTCCAGCACCACAATTCAAAAGCATCAATTCTTCTGTGGCCAGCCTTCCTTATGGTCCACCTCTCACTTCCATACATGACTACTGGAAAAACCATAGGTTTGACTATGTGGACCTTTGTCGGCAAGGTGATGTCTCTGCTTTTTAAGATGCTGTCAAGGTTTGTCATCGGTTTCCTCCCAAGAAGCAAGCATCTTCTTTCATGGCTGCTGTCTCCATCTGCAGTGATCATGGAGCCCAAGAAAGTAAAATCTGTCACTGCCTCCATATCTTCCCCTTCTATTTGCCAGGAGGTGATGGGACCAGTGGCCATGATCTTGGTTTTTTTTTTTATGTTGAGCTTCAGACCACCTTTTTTTAATGTTGAGCTTCCTCTTTCAACCTCATTAAGAGGTTCTTTAATTCCTCCTCACTTTCTGCCATCAGAGTGGTATCATCTGCATATTGGAGGTTGTTAATATTTCTTCTTGCAATTTTAATTCCCGCTTTGGATTCATCCTGTCTGGCCTTTTGCATGATGTACTGTATTCTGCATATAAGTTAAATAAGCAGGGGGACAATATACAGCCTTGTCGTACTCCTTTCCCAATTTTGAACCAGTCAGTTGTTCCATATCCAGTTCTAACTGTTGCTTTCTGTCCCACATATAGATTTATCAGGAGATGGATAAGGTGATCAGGCACTCCCATTTCTTTTAAGAACTTGCCATAGTTTCTTGTGGTTCCTAGTCAATGAAGCTGTGTTTTTCTGGAACTCTCTGGCTTTCTCCATAATCCAGTGCATGTTAGCAATTTGGTCTCTAGTTTGTCTGCCCCTTCAAAATCCAGCGTGTACTTCTGGGAGTTCTCGGTCCACATGCTGCTAAAGCCTACCTTATAGGATTCTGAGCATAACCTTGCTAGCATGTGAAATGAGTGCAATTGTACGGTAGTTGGAGCATTCTTTGGCACTGCCCTTCTTTGGGATTGGGATGTACACTGATCTTTTCCAGTCCTCTGGCCATTGCTGAGTTTTCCAAACTTGCTGGTATATTGAGTGTAGCACCTTAACAGTGTCATCCTTTAAGATTTTAAATAATTCAACTGGAATGCCATCGCTGCCACTGGCCTTGCTGTTAGCCATGCTTTCTAAGGCCCACTTGACTTCACTCTCCAGGATGTCTGGCTCAAGGTGAGCAGCCACACTATCTGGGTTGTCTGGGTGCTGCATGGCTTGCTCTCAAACTAACAGCATATGGGCCAAGGTTTGCCAAATTATCAGCATGCATACAACATCAAAAATCACATTTTGCAAAATCATGCCAAGTTGAGTATCCCTTATCAAAAATACATGCATATAATTATTTAAAAGGTTGTATAAATTACCTGGCTTGTATTACTTTTATATCTGTTTCCATTTACTAGAGTTAATGGTTATTTTTCAATAACAAAGTGTTTATATCATTGAAAGTTCTGTTATGTTTTGAAGACAAATGGTGATGATTAATTCAGACAACTGAGTTGATTTTTCTAAACTAAAACATCAGTATTCAGATTTAATTGCAATGTTGGCACTTCGAAAGAAAATATGTTTTTTTGTTTTGCCGTTTGGGCACTCGGGCTCAAAAAGGTTAGCCATCACTGGCCTAGCCACTTCACAATATTGGGAATTTAAACACTTCCTCTGCTCCTCTGTGGAGGGGCAAAGGAAGGAAGCAAGTTTTTCTTTTAAAGTCTGCGAGGAAAGCATTGATGGGTTATATCATTTAAGGGGGGGGAAACGAAAAAACAGATAACTAAGAGGAGGGATGAGCAGGGGGATTTTTTTCTTGTTTTCATAAGGAAAGCCAAATAGGGTTGTTTGAGGTATATATGCCATTTAGATGTAAGGATCACACCAAATGGCATAATGGGCCTCTATCTGACTTAGCCTTTTTGGAATTTAGGCTGAACCTCAATTGCTTTCCTATCTATGTGAGCACTGAGGTATATATGCCATTTAGATGTAAGGATCACACCAAATGGCATAATGGGCCTCTATCTGACTTAGCCTTTTTGGAATTTAGGCTGAACCTCAATTGCTTTCCTATCTTTTTATGTGAGCATGCTTTCATATCTAGCTAGATAGTTCATTGAGTTAAAGTAGGGGCTAGGAGTTCAATTCATTAGTGTGCCTCTTGGGAAAACAGCTATCCAGCATTCAGGAATTCCTAAGCCTCCTCAGTGTGCCTCTTGGGAAAACAGCTATCCAGGCATGGGCAAGCTACTCAGTCCTAGAGAACCACCTCACCAAACTAGAGAAATTATTAGACTTGACAGTGTCAGAAAGAATGTCTGGAAGCATTTTCTCAGCAGCTAGTTCAATTGTCCCAACAGCTTGTTCTCTCTCATCAATCACCATTGTGAGAGCACAATCTTGAAAAGCCATATTGTTGTACTACAAACCTCAGACTGCCCTCCAGCATGGCCAGCACCTGTGCAGGTTTGGAGTTCTGAGCTGTAGCCCCCCCCCCCAAAGAGTAATGTTGGCTGAGACCAGGGCCTTGACAGGCATGAAAACGTTAAACAGAAACTCATCAGGAACATTCAGGAATTCCTAAGCCTGCTAAGGTGGGCCATTTTCATGGGTCCACACAACCCAAGTATTGATTGCTCACCATGATTGCCTTTCTGGGGCTTTTCTGAAGTACATAGAGCTGTGTATCACCCACACGCTGATGATGCTACAACCCAGACTTCCAGATGACTTCATCTAGCAGTTTCGTGTAGATGTTAAAGATAGTGGTAGACAAGACAGACCCTTGAGGCAAACCATTTTAGGCCAAAGGCCATGAGATGGAACAGCAATCTCCTGCAACTGGCCCTCCAGAAAGGAATTGAGCCACTGATTCACCTGTCAGGTGAACCAGAACGATACTATAGTTGATAGCATCATACCGAGCTGCAACAACAGAGATTCTCCTTAACAATCCTTTTCTGACCCAGGGCATCCAATAAGCTGACCAAAACAGTCTCCACCCTGAACCCAGCCTGGGAAGAATCTGAGGAATCTATTTCAACCAGAAAACTTTAGAAGTGAAAACAATAACATGCCTAAATACCCGATTTAAGTGAAAGAAAAAAAGCTTTGCTGCGGGTTGATAATTTATTTATTATTATTTATTTTAAATATTATTACCCCACCTTTTTCCTTAAAAAAGACCCAAGGAAGCTTACACTATTAAAAGACAATATTTGAAAGCTAAAAATAGTACATGTACAAATATTAAAAAGAATCAAACAAATACCACACTAAACAAAGCGACGTTAAAAAAAGATTGAAAGCAACAAGGCTATTTAAAAGCTCCTCTCAGACAACTAATCACTATGGGAAAACCTGTATGAAGAACAAGGTCTTCATCTGTGTGCAGAACGACAGCAAAGATGGGGCTAGCCTGGCTTCCTGTGGGAGGGTGTTCCAAAGTCTGAGATCAGCAACAGAGAAAGGGCCCTCTCATGTGTCCCCACCAAGTGCACCTGTGAGGGTGGTGGGATCAAGAGAAAGGCCTGCCCTGATTATCTTAATACCCAGACAGATCCATAAAGGGAGACACAGTCCTTGAGATAGCTTGGACCTAAGCCATTTAGGGATTTATAGAACTAACAGTTTGTTGTTATGGTCTAGCTCAAGAGTAAGTATTTCTGCAAAAAGGCCCCTTTAAAACTAGCTCCTTAAGGACAACAGTACTGTTCCTCACTTGAAGGTAGGCATTTCACTAGCTCAGGGCTTGGAATCCTATGGTTCCTGCTGCTGTCTGAGCAGTGGCAGACATACATTTTTGGGGCCCTCAAGCTTGACCTGTTATGGGGCCCCATTTGCAACCATGGGGTTGTTCTGTAGTGTAACAGATCATCACAGATTTTTTTATTTTTAATGTGGGCTAAAGTCACTTCCGGTAATCCGTCCAGGAGTAGGGGCCCTGAAGTTTAAGCTTTCATACTAGATCCCTCCCTGTATCTGACTGCAACTCCCATCATCTCTAGCCAGCCAAACAAATTGTGAAGAATGATGGAAGTCGTAGTTCAGGATAATCTTGAGAGCCCTAAATCCACCCCACCTGGACTAACTCAGTTTGCTCATTCATAAGTAGCTACAATAGTAAAAAAAATCCTGCAAACATGAGTTTGGCTTGACATTCTCACGAAACACATCCATGACTTTAAGGTCAACAAGGTGCAAGAGGTCCAGGAAAAAATGACCAGATGGCGCTGTAACGTTCCTCTTCAACCCTCGTGGGAAAGAGGAGCCCATCTGGTGATTCAAATGTTGTGACTCCCAGCTCCCCGAAGCCACAACCCGGATAGTCAATGGGCCGGAGTGATGGGACCTAGAAAACCAGAAAGCCTAGAAGTGTCAAGTTTGAGACCTAGTATCGTGTTTAAAGTTCCGGAAAGCTACGCCGGTTTGGCAGGCAGGTGGGCTCAGCAGCGCCCTCGCCCCCAGGACAACCCCCCCCCCCGGCCGCTGCCCGCGCACCAGTCCCAAGCTGAGGGAACGAAGCGTGGGCTCTTGCCAAACCCAGCCAGGGGGCGACCCGCCCAAGAAACGGGACGGGAGGCAAAGGGTCCTAATATCCCCCCGCACCCGAAAGCAGCCGCCGAAATCCACGGGCGGGACACGCTTTTTTCCCCCCTCGACGGGACAAACGGGTGAGGGTGGGGAAACACCTCAGAAGGCGCCCCGCTCGTCTCCTGCCGCGCCCGAGGGCAGGGCTCGGAAACCCGCCTACGCGCCTGAACCGCTAGAAAGGCCGCGACGTCGCCCCGGAATGGGCGGGCCGGGCGGTGACGAGGCTGGCGGGCCCACCCCCTCGAGTTTGTAACTGGGGCTCCGGCGGCGGCGGCGGCGGCAGGAGGGTGAGCGCTGCGCGGGGTGGCCCAGGGAGCAAGCGCTGCGCTCCAGCATCGTCGTCGCCGAGGCGCACGTGGGGACGCCGCGCTCCCGCTTGGCTTCGTTTGAGGACAGCGCCGTCCCGAGAGGACCTTCGCGGAGGAGCCGGCCGGAGGGCGAGTCCGTGGGCAGCGCCCAGCCACCGGCTTTCAAGCCCCCGCCGTCGGACTGTGTGGCTCCGAAGCAGGCGGCAGCCCCAGGCGCCTTTCTGCCCGCCTCTCCCGCCTCGCGCCCGGCTCTTGTTGTCCAGTCGGGGCCAGGGAGTGAAATGAGGGGGGTGCTGGTGATCCCGAGCCTTCTTCTGGCGGCAGGTAAGAAGGAGACGGGGCGCAAGGAGGACTCGAAGGGCTGCCTGCCTTCTCGCCGGCGGACGGAGTAGCAGCTCCTGGGCAGAGGGGCGCCGCGTCCCGGGGAAGGGAGGCGAAGGAGCGCGGTTGGAACGCGAGGAAACGCGGGGCGCTCGGGGTTGGCGCAAAGTTACTGCGCATTTTTATACCCCTTTGGGTCTGTATGTACATGTCATTTAAATCAGGAATGGCACTTGTCGTGCCCCGTTTTTAAGTGCATTGGAAATAAAGTGATCGGTCTTTAGGAATAGTCGGTCCACGTCCCGCGAATGCTTAGGAGGTTTTTCGAATCCGCGGCTCTCTTCTCGTCGCTTGGGCTTCTTTGCAGCGCGGCCTAATTTAGCCTGTTTTGATAGCCGATATGGTTGGCTCGCTTGGGTGGGTGTAAGCGGACTACATACTGTACTTCCAACACACACACACACACACACACACACACAAACATTGTGGTGCCTGGGGGGGTTGATTCCTTGCAAAATGCCATTCCCCGACGGTGGGGGAAAAAAGTTTTCGAAGTTTCTGCAGTGCCAGTGGTTGAGATTCCCCCTTCTTTTAAACATGCACCTTGACATTTGCAAATCTAAATGTTCTTTGTAGCCCAGGGGCAAGCCCTCAAAACAGTGAATATGCATATAAATATGCTTGGAAACAGCAGTGTAAAAGAAGCGTGTGACTGGATGGTCTAGACGTGTATACTGTGTGGGTATTAGGGTATGGGTAATGTGGGTGCACATATATTTTAATAGAATGTGTGTCCTTATGCCTGAGAAAGTCGTTGTACACATATTGCATTTGAATGTGTGAACCTTTATAGTAGTCATGCACTCAAATGAAAATGTGTTCGTCCTTCATTCATACCATGTTTCTGATCCTTGTTTTAGCTGCACAATCATTCAATAAATAACAGTGCTAGTTCTTAAAATACAGTGTTATAATGGGTTGTTGGGTGAGAGAATTGCACAATGAACTTCCCCATGTATTGGGGAGGGGGAGTATTAGAAGGATGTTAAAAGGATGACTTATTGATTGATAGATTGAATTAGTCATTTTCACATATCCTTTTTCTCAATTGTAGTTTGTGCCGTCCTGGTGAATGGTGAGGAGTCTGTTCTACTTCAGAATGAACAGTACAGTGAAGATGGTGTAGAAGATCTGACACATCCCCAACTCCTTCCAGCTAGGGAGACCTTGGGACAAGAAGGAGAAAAAAACAGGGGCCTGCCATCCTCAAGCAGTAACTTTAGTGAACTCTCAAAAGGTATGTCCCAAAGTATTTTAGAAGAAAAGTGATAAATATTTGTCTGCTACCTATTTTGGGGGGTGATTTGGGTTTTCCACAAACGTGCGTTGTAGGTTCATGGAGAACACAAGTCTGTTACTTTCCATGTTGTATTGGGGAAACCTGTGTCATTTTCATTCATTGCATTCAGTGGCTACTGTCCAGTAGAAAGTTAGGCACATTTGTTTCCATTGATTTTGAAAAATGAAATCAATCTGCTGAAAGATATATCCTTGTGTTGTATGGTGACTTGAGCGGTTCATGAAGAAGTGGGAGACAGATGCTTGGAATACACCAATTCAGAGATAAAAGAGGGTGCATCTTTATCATAAAAGCAGACTTCCTACGAAATGGTGGTTTAAAAAAAAATAATGAATCATAGAAAAGTGAAGGCCATCAAGTCCAACCTACTGCTCAACGCTGGAATACAGTCAAAGCATATCTGCCAGGTGATTATCCAAGATTTTCTTGATTGCCTCCAGTGTTGGAGCGATCACCAACTCCCGAGGTAGCTGGCTCCAGTGTCTTATTGTTCTAACAGTTAGGAAGTTTTTCCTGATATTCAACTGAAATCTCGCTTCCTTTAACTTGAGCCCCTTGTTGCGTGTCCTGCACTGAAGAGAAAAGAGAAAACTAATTGGAGATTAAGATCAGATTATGGACACCTTTTAATTCCGCAGGTTTCCAAGTAAACTGTAACTTGGCTTATTCTAATTTGGAATGAAATACATTTAGACCCCATCTGAATATAAAATCCATGCACTTGCATTTCAGAAGAGAGAAATCATCAATTCTTTGGCTTGTATGTCAGCAGGAGGTTGTGACTGATTAGTCAACAAATTAATCTCTCCTCCTCATGAACTAATTAGACTACTTTTTACCTGTTTAGCAAAGCTCATATGCCCCCAACTTTATCAGACGTGCCTTGGGAGATAGTACTTGCTGAGCACAGATCCCAGTGATGGAGGACCTGTGGCTAAATAGACGAAGAAATTCATCTATCATTGGCATTCTGGAGTTATAGTAGCCTTCCATCCAAATTCCAAATATACTTATTTGAAAATAAATTAACTATCAGTGAAATACACTCCCATTTATGTGTGCTTTGAACTAGGAACATGCCCAAGAATGCTTTAGTAACCTGAATATTTCTTGCCACTCAGATCCTTGTACAGTGTGTTGCTAGAGGGATACCAAGCCTGCTAGGAATAGAAGAGTGACAGTGGCAAAGTTAAAATTGTTGGTGTGATCTTTCATATTTTACTGGATTGTTTTTCTGCATTCTCATGCCAAATAAAGTTGTGGTGCTGAGTGTTTTGGGTGTTTTCCCCTTATGTGTGCACAACCCTGGCAACAGGAGTGGATCCCCAGGACAAGGGAGGGAATCAGGCTAGAATGTTCCCACGGAAATTCTTGCCTTGTTTGCTTGATGTCACAGTGTGCTGATGTTTTAGTAGTTCCTTGTTTCTATTTTCTGAGCTTGCTATTTCCCTGGAGGGCCCCAGTGCCCCACGTTTGAGCCAGCCGTGCATTCCAGCTGCCCACAAGCCCTTAGAGCTGCATCCTGTGCTACCCACAGCTTTTTGTCCTCTTATGAAGTATAACCGCTTGGTTTTCACAAGCCCCGGCACTTAAAAATATGACATCAAAATTAGAGGACTACTTTGGTTGACGGTACTGCCGCACTTTGCAGGCTTTTGCTTTTCATGTAATTTGCCTACTGCTAAGGAATTTGAACAGTATGGAGTAACTTCTCCCACTGGTCTGGGCTGGGTTTTAATTCTTCTGCAACATGTTTTGTTAGTGACAGGATGTTTTTATGCCTTCCTGCTACACAAGAACTTTTAGTATAGCTGTGACCTCAACTTTGAATTCTTAGCTTCCCCTTCCTTCCCTAGTTTTCTGCAGGAATCTGAAAACTTGGCAACTTCACAAACACTTATTCTCTCTCCCCCCTTGACAACCCTGTCCTTCCTTCTTTCTTATGGAAAACATTGGCCAGCCCTGGGGTCCCATAGCAACAATGTTCTTAAGATATGGCAAGGAAAGAAAGATCTGTCTTCTTGGCATTTGTACCCCTGTATAGAGTTTGAGTCACAGAGAGGTTTGAATAATAAAGCATTGCTGGGCCGTGGTCCAAAGGCAAAGTAGGACCAGTCATTTGCCACCCGGGCTCAATTGCTTTGTGTGTCTGGGGGGGGTCTGTCCAGAGGAAGTATTAATTTTCCAGGCTGGAGATGGTGTCAGTTGGTGGAGGGGATCCACAGATGACTCACCGTCCCCCGCCCACACAATGTGGTTCTTCTTACCTTACTCAGTTTAGTCACTGAGGCTACATTGTGCCATCTGGGGGCGTCTGGCTGGGTCTCCATTTCACCCTCTCCGCCCATTTTTGTCCTGAGTCCCTTGGATGCTTTCTGCCCAATATGGGTCCCAGTACACCAGTCATTAAACTCTGTGTGGGAAGAACTTTGAACTGCTGCAGTTAAACTGGGTTGAACTAGCTGTGGCAAGCCTGTCTGTATGTCTATCAGTTCTCTTTTCATTTTTCAAGAAAGCCCTGTTTTTCCACCCCTTTATTTTCAGAAACACCTAGCATCTTTTGCACCTAGGGAAGGCCCGGGCAAGAGGCTAAAATAGGCTGCAAAGCTAACTTCTGATGTTGTTGAAGCCACTGGTTACCCTGACCAAGAGGTGGCACCCCATCTTTCACGGGTAGTCTCTTTCCTGTTTGTTTCACAGCACTGCAATGTCATTCTTCTTTGCATTTGGGGTTCCCTCCTAGAGTTTTGTCAATGGGCAGTTGAATACCGAACCTCCCCTTTCCTCTCACAACTTCCTCACTCACCTTTCCAACTGCATCTTCTCCGGTTTTCTATTCCAGATACTTCTTGGGACGTGTGGTAGGGTGAATAATATTTCTTTGCATTTGCACAGGAGTTGATGAGGCAGCACTGCACGAGTGGGGCATCTCTTTGTCTAGTGTCTTAAATATACAATTTGTATATTCTCTTTCCCTCCAGGGCTTTTGTCAACCTTTCTCCAGATCTGGGCTAGTTGTTTTTCTTCATAAACAGTTCACGGCGTTGTCTGCATGCCCAGCTCTTCAGTCAGTTTTCATTGGTCAGCCCTGGGACCCCAGAGCATGGGGGACTCCTAGCAGCAGAAGAAAAGGGTCACAGGACCTGGCTTTCCTGCTTCTGGGTTCTGCTCATTCCCCAGGTGTTGCACTGCCTGTGTTTTTTTTCTACGCCTCCTGTTTAGATATCCCGCTTTATCAAAGAGCAACCTGGTGGTCCTCTCAACAGATGGAGCAGTTTTGCAGGCTTATTTTGTCAGTCTGTCTTCTGATTAAAACAAAGAAGTGAGGCATCTGGGCTTAGAGAGCTAACAATGGTGTGTTGGGTGAATAAAGCAGTAGGAGCATGGCAGCAAAGGAGGGGTGGAATTTCTCCCCCCCCCCCCCCCAATATAGAAGACTAGCCTGCAATATTGTTCGGCAGAATGCCTGACGGAGGGTGATGTTTGGCTTGTTCCTTGCTGGAGTAGCTCCCTACAGGATTTTCTGCTCCTCGGGCACACACAGTCTTCTCAAGCTGCTATTCAGGGAGGAGGGGCAGGATTGGGGAGCTGCCAATAATAGGGTGAGGAGCAGGGGCAGAGGGGAATTGTAAATAGCCTTATGGCCCTGTCTGTCTAGCTTTTGCGGCTTGGTTTTGCAGGATCCAAAGAGGCATTCCCCCTCTGTGAGGAGTACTTATCCAACTTTATGGGATGTTTCCTGCATTTCAGAGTGCTAAATATGTACAGATCCTGCTGTGTGTAAATGTGCTCAGGAGTTGTAGCTGCTTCTTGCTGCCTTCTGTTCCAATATGTATGCCTGGTAGGATAATTCTGTGTGGTGTAATCTAGAAAAGAAACATTTCCATACTTTGATCCAGATTCATGTTCAAAGCAAAGCAAAGCAAAATGTAGTGCTTACATACCACCCTGTAGTGCTGAAAGCATTATCTGGACAGGCTACACATTGACACCCCCCTCCCCTGAGCTAGGTACTCAGTTTATCAACATCAGACGAATGGAAGGCGAGTTAACCTTGAGCCAGCTACCTGAAGCCACTGGGATTGAACTCAGGTCATGAACAGAGTTTTGACTGCAATACTGCAGTTTAACCACTGTGCCATAGGGCTTCACAAGCTTAACATGTCAAACAACAGTCTTGTTCTCTGCCATGAATCTAGTGCATAGGATGAGCACCTTCCCCCTTTTTTCACCACCAGCAGAAGTCAGAGATAGAAGGGTTAATTATGAACGCTGGTGAAGAGCAATGGGTAGGGTTAACAGTCCAAACAGTCCAACCTCTATTAGTAAATAAAGAAAAGAGCTGAACACCTGTACCTTTGCTGTGAAAAGAATTATCTCTTTCATTGCAAATGCCTGTCTGCAACCCTCTAAGTTGCGCAGCCACACAACACTGGATCAGGGCTGCCCATTTGCTTCCGGTCTCAGCCAGAACTCTGCATGAACAGGGCAGGCCTCCTGTGTAAGTCTCTGGAAAATTAAAGGGAATGTTGCCTGTCTGTTGTTCCCAGATGGGTGAAAAGGGGGGGGGGTTAGTGGAGTTCATGGAGAACAAAGATTTTCAGGGGAATGGGGGGGAACCCTATTCTACTGGGTATGTTTGTTTTGCTTCAGCTTGTTTTCAGGGAACCAGTCAATAGGCTTTCATGGGCCTCAACCATTACACAGTGTAGAAACCAAGCGTAATGCATCACGCAAAGTCAAAAGAAAAATAAGAAATAAAGAATGCAAAAATGTGGCACCTTAAAAGCTAACTGCTATATTTTAATGTGAGCTTTCATGGACTGGTCCACTCCCTCAGAAGTTCAGAACAACATAGCTGCTGAACCCTAGCAGGGTGGAGTTCTCACGGAAAGGGATTTAGTAGGGTAAAGGATACAATCCCCTCCCAGTTCTGTCCCCTCTTAACAGCAGATGGGCTGCCTCTTGATGGCACTTTGCAAGGGAGAAGTGGCTGGGAGCCTGACCTTGCCTGGGGCTGTGTTGTAATATTTAACTTAGCTCACTGTCAACCATCAGTTAATGATAGTAGAATTTATTGAGCAGGACTCTGAACCGCCTTATGCAAAAGGCCAGAGACTTTAAGATCATGGTCAGAACATGATGACTTTTTTCTGCGCTTTGTGGGAGGCCAGCAAGTACAACAGCAAAATTTGCCCTCTGCAAAGTTTATATTCTGAACATACAATAACCTGTCTTGATTCCTACTAGCATGAGTATGAATCAGAAGCTATACATTAAAACATGGCAGTGTGCTGCTGCAGAAGCTCTGCCACATGAAAGCCGCACATAAGAGGAACAGCTATTCTTAAGTGAGATCTCACTTGGGTCCCATTTCAATTTTTTTTCAGCTGTCACTCAGCCACTACAAACTCCATGTGACTTTGGAGTGCACAAATGACAACCTAAGACTTAAAACACAAACACTGTTGGAAAGGGGACGTGTTTATAGTCAACAAGGAAAATGATGTAACGCGCGCGCACACACACGCACACGCACACACAGTCGGAGCAAATCCGTGCCCCAAACTTGGTCTGGCACAGATGGGAGGAGAGCTCCTTGTCCATTTCCTCAAAGCACTTTGTGAATAGGGCACTTGGTTTGTAATCTGGCATCAGCTGCAGCCTTTCTCACTGGCTGCTGTGTGAGGAGAACTCCTGGAGCTTTCCTTCTGAACTATAAATGTAACTGGAAGGATGCGGTGGCCAGAGGAGGATGCTGGAATCAAGAGACAGGGAGGCACCCGCCCTGCACTGCTTAAGAGAGCCCCAGGACCAAAGCAGTGGAGGCTGTTAGAGGTGGCTGGGTAGTCTGGTTTTGTTTTGGAGGGGCTTTAGGATTCCAGTAGATTGAGAGCAGGAAGAAAGTTGGCTGGGGGCTGTTTACTTGATTTCTGTGTGATTTGTTGTAGATGTTTGGCAAAGGTATATGGCTCCTTGCTGAACAAGAACAACGAGAAAAACCTTCTCCCCAGTCCTGAAGCTCAGGAAGCTGAGAAATTTTGCAGGGAGATCTTTTCTGTTTAAGAATTTACTCATCCCAGATTTAATATTATTAGGATGTGTATGCAAAAAATTAAGGCACTCCATTCCTTAATTTTAAAATTGTGGTGGCGCTGCGGGCTAAACCGCAGAAGCCTGTGCTGCAGGGTCAGAAGACCAAGCAGTCGTAAGATCGAATCCACGCGACGGAGTGAGCGCCCATCGCTTGTCCCAGCTCCCGCCAACCTAGTGGTTCAAAAGCATGCAAATGCAAGTAGATAAATAGGGACAACCTCGGTGGGAAGGTAACAGCATTCCGTGTCTAAGTCGCACTGGCCATGTGACCACAGATTGTCTTCGGACAAACACTGGCTCTATGGCTTGGAAACGGGGATGAGCACCGCCCCCTTGAGTCGAACACGACTGGACAAAAATTGTCAAGGGGAACCTTTACCTATACCTTTACCTTTGTGAGGAGGGTGTAGCCCAAACCAAAGTAGGCCCATAAATCTGAGGTCTGCCAAACTCTGTAGTAAATAATGATAAAATCAGCTTCCATGTTAATTCACAAGTCATGACTTTTAAAATCACATCGATTACTAAGTGACATGACATTAATTTGATTTTCCTGTCTAAGGGAAGGTATAATAACCAAAGTTACCTGCAGATAATTTAGTTCAGTATATGCTAGACATGTTTTGTAGACTGTTAATTAGTCTAACAAATATTGCTGTTTTAATTCTTTTTCCAGTTGCTTTCCTGTCCAGGCCTCAAGATCCAGTGACACCAAATAAAGAGGGGAAAAGGAAGAAACAGAGGAAGGGGAAGGGGAAAAAGAGAGATCCCTGCTTACGAAAATACAAGAATTACTGTTTTCATGGAGAATGCAAATATGTCAAAGCACTCAAAATTCCAACCTGCCTGTAAGTTAATCACAGCATTTCTTTCCTAGGGATGTCTTTGCAGATAATGAAAGTGAATATATTCTTTTTAATTATGTGTTTGTTCTTGCTGCACAAACCTGCCTTCCTGCCCCACATGATCACATAACTGTGTTACATTCTTTATTTTTGGTTAAATAAAAATGACGGTAGATGTGAATTGTGGTACTAGAGTGTGAGGGTTCATCACACAGCTAAATGGAAATAGGCAGAGCTCCACAGAATGACCAGATTTAGCTCTGCACAGCAAAATCTTTTTAACTTCCTGAACAAACCTATACATGTCTGTTGAGAAATAAGTCCTATTGAATATAGATTTTGTTTCCCAATATGTGGTTAAAAGAAAGCAGCCTAAATATTTGCCCTTGAGTTATGGGAGTAGTATTTGATCCTCAGAATACAATAAGAAATACGAGATCGTTTTTTTCTAAATTTACCTAAAAACTTGTGAAGGTGAGGTTTGAAGTAGCAACTACAGTATTACTTGAACTAGTGACTTGGGCAAGCAATACAAACTCTTTATTGTACTTAGGTGGCAGTAAAATATGTTCTTTATCAATGACAAAAGAAATACTGCTGCTTGACTGCTGGAAAAATGTACCATTCCTGCAGCAAGGAAAGCAACTCGGCTTTCCTTAAAAGTTGACATTCTCAGTACGCTGAGTTCTTTGCCCAGCAGCAATTTCTGCACTCCTCTATGAGATCACATATTGCCACACCCTACAATTAACATCCTCACTGTAGTACCAGTTATGTTATCCCTTGTTATGTTAGAATTGTAGTACGATTTAGTTATAACTTGGTTATTGGAAGAAATAATTAATTAGAAGCAAGCAGTCATCTCTAATGAGTCTTACTTTAAAGTAACAATACAGTAGTTCTGTCTTGTTTCTCCATGTTAAATTGTGGTTACAGTTAACTTGCAGCTGAGAAAATACCTGGGATTATTCTTCACAAAGTGCAGGATGCAGGCATGCTGAACATTAGCTTCAGACCCCTTCTTATTTCCTTCAGTTCAGCAAGGGGAAGCACTACATTTCCCAGTGTTAAGTAGCGGGGGTCTCCAAGATACTGAACATCAGACTGTGTTTTGTGCCAGGCTCAAGGAAAAGGCGTGACTGGCTTAAATCACTGGTTCTTAACCTTGGGTTACTCAGGAGTTTTGGACTGCAACTCCCAGAAGCCTTCACCACCAACTGTGTTGGCTGGGGTTTCTGGGAGTTGCAGTTCAAAAACATCCGAGTAACAAAGGTTAAGAACCACTGGCTTAAATGAACAGACTTCTGGACATTGCAGACCTTTGGTGGTATTCAATAAAACTGGCAGTGTTTCATCTTGAGAAAGCAGAAGTTTTCTGAGATGTTCATTGTCATGGCTTTCCCACTTATACGATGAGGAGACTACATGACCTATCACATTGATAAATCCCTACATAATTAGTTCTACATTTACCAGTTCTGTTACACTTTTTAAACAACCACAACGGTTGAATAAACAGTTGTAACAGCACACAAATATGTGGCTGCTATGTATGCTGTCTGCAGTTGAGTCTGTTCTTGTTAGTCCTCCTGCCCACCCCCTTTGGGCCATAGGCATCCTTGCTAGAACAGATCAATGGATCATATGGGATGGCTACTGAGATTTTTAGTCTTGTGATATCAGAAGGGGAGAAGGCATGGGGGGCTGTAAGCTGTGTCATCACTCTTGGCGCAGTTTTTGAGTACTGAAGCTTGAAGGTGATCTTGATGTATGGAATGGGCTACTTCTAGCCAGGCCCTCACTAAGCATGAGACTTACGGTCTGAATGTTTGGAAAGAACCACTCTGTTAGGCCTTGTTGGAATGTTGGGCTTGTAGCTCTCTGTTTACCTTGCTTCTCTGTGAAACGGACACTTGTGGATTTAAGTATTTTACTCACATGCCTTTTATAAATAATATACAAGTGACTAGCTGGATATACTGTACAGACAAGTGAAGCTCAGTTATCCTTTTCAGAATATATGTTTCTATCCCAAAGATTGCCAAGACAGAGTTAATTATGGTTGTTTTCCTTTTCTTCAAAGGCAATGCTCTTAAAGAGCATCTGCTTTTTCTTGTTCATTAAACTATTGAAATCCAGTGATGGATACTGGCCTCTCCTTTTTGCTTCCACAAATTTCTGTCTTGCTCTGTTCTAGTAAAAGAGCATTGCTACTGAGTAACAATTGGATGCATGCAAATGTTTTTTCTTGAGCAAAGACTTTATGAACTGGGGAGAACTTTCAGTCCTTGCTGAGATTTGCACATTCCCTCTCCCTCTGGTGAGTGCAATTCAGCCTTTGCTTCTGTTACTATAAAAAGCCCATGAGTGCTTATGATGCTAAATAAACAATAACTAATAATAATACCAAATTACTTGCACTCACAAGACTCAGATCTCTTTTGAAGATAGGACAGTGTTACAGTAGTTTCATACTTCAGGCTTATTCTGGTTGAGACCTAAATAGATCTTCAGCAACGTTCCAGAAAGATTGCTGTGCACAATTAACTTGATAGGTTGTGACTCTACAAGCTTTGTTCATGCTTCAGTTAGTGTCTGTGTATTTCTGATTCCATCAAAACCAGAGAACTCTCTGCACTAACTATGCCCAATGCAGACTGGAGGAAACTAATGAGAAACTGAGCAGGCGTGTGGTGCACAGTAGACTTAAGAGGCTTAGGGTAATGTTTTGTGCATTAAACATAGCTGGAGGTAGGCATTACTACCCGTGTGACTGATCGTGACTATTATTCAGATCTGGAATAATTCTTTTGCATTGTTTTTACTTGCAACTCTCAGATGCCAAGAGGGGTACCATGGGGAGCGATGCCATGCCCTTAGTCTTCCAGTGGAAAACCGATCCCGCAGCTATGACAACACAACTATACTAGCAGTCACAGCAGTTGTGCTGTCCTCCCTCTGCCTTATCATCATTGCTGTATTACTGATGCTCAGGTAAGCTCTTTGATGGGTTTGGGAAGAGTAGCAGAAACTGAAGTGCAGGCCTATATTTTGTTTGCTATAATTTGGAAGAGCAAGAACTGCAAGAAAGTAACAGCCGTGAAAGGTGGCCTTTGTAGTCCTTGCTTAGTTTGGTCCTTAGCTCAGTACAGGCATGAAACTGAGTCTGGCAGATCTCTGTCCCCAAGGCCACCTCGTGAACAACTGTGTGATTTGTCCAATGGCAAAACCCCAACTATCTGTCCATTTCCCTTAACTTTTATTCAAGTAGCAGAGTGAGGCAGATCAAGGTCTTAATTTGATTTGTTGTCAAATTTTGCAAAGAATCTTTTTGGTGCCAATTTGATTAGTTAGGTTTGGAAATCTCTTCCAGTTCAGTGACTCTGAGTACTAGCCCTTCTCTGTTACGTGCTGTCAGGTTGCATTTGATTTATAGCAACCCTCGTAGGATTTTAAAAGCGTATGAGATATTTAAGGAATGGTTTTACCAGTGTCACCTCTCGGTGAATTTCTCTGGCCAAGCAGGAATTTGAATCCAGGTCTCCTGGTTCAGCCCTTCTGTACTCTTAGTTACACAGCTGGCTTATTTATTTATTTATTTATTTGATTTTTATACCACCCATCTAGCCAAAGGCTACTCGGGGCAGTTTACAGCACAAAAAGCTGCCTGAACAGGAAGTCAGAAAGTGAAGGCATTAATATAGTTTTAGCCTCAGGCAAACATGAGCAACGGTGGTACGCCAGATGTTTACGGCCTACAAGCTCCGCATCCTTATGCAGGATAGCCAGTGGTGGAGGATTAAGGGAGCCGAAGGCCAAAAATAACTGGAAGGTTACAGTTGCCCACCCCTTGTCCAAAGTATTTCACATCTTGCGGCTGGTCCATGGCATGAAATGAGGTGTGTGGAATTTCTAATACTATAAGGGAATACTTGCTCCTTGTCTTGGACTAATGGTAGTGTGGTAATCATTTTGTCATTCTTTATGCAGGTTTGGATTTATTCTTTATCTTGAGTATCTTTTTTGGTTGGGTTTTCCAGGTGCCATAAAAAAGGAGTATATGATGTAGAGAGTGAAGAGAAGGTGAAGCTGGGCATCCCTGTCAACCACTGAAATAATCTGGAAATGCAAGGTAATCTGTCTTTCCAACCAAGTGACTGATGGACAGACTGCTTACATCAGGGGTGTCCAAACTTTCACCTGGGTCACATTAGAAGATGAAAATTTGGTTTGGGCCGCATGGGGGGGGCAGCCCTAGCCGTCCTCCACAGCCCCGCTCTAAGCACGCTTACGGGCAGCTGCGATCTCAGATAGCAGAGGCTGCCAGCTTCGACTCCGGTGGCTTTATGGGGGCAGAAGGGGGTCCACCTATTGATGGGGACAACACAATGCAGTCACGCAGCCCCCCTCTCCCCTCCCCTCCTGCTCCTTCCTTCCTTCCCTCTCTCTCCCCCCCTACCATTGTGACGTGCCCGGCCGCATTCCGGCCGCAAGCACCGGCAGTGTAACTTGAAACTTTGGAATTTCTTTTTTTAAAAAAAAATTGCACTGAGCCGCATTACGAGCCGACCTGGGCTGCATGCGGCCCCCGGGCCGCAGGTTGGACAAGCCTGGCTTATATCATTGGTGGGAATACATCACATTGGATTCTGTCCTTTCTTTGCCCTGAAGCAGTCTTTCTTATTTAGTAGACTAATATAAATATGAGATGCCTGTGATGTTGGCTGTGTCATAAAAATATTCTTGAAAGGTAGATGAGAGGACATTAAGCCCTGGGGCAAACATAATTTGCTGGCTTGTATGTGAAGCTATATTGCACTGTGCTGACCTCAAGTACTGAGCCCCTAACCAAGCATAACAGATTTGCCTCTATATCATGTGGTCTTCTACTAAGACCCAAGCCATACACCTTCTTTACTGATGCCTCATCTGGTGTTGCTGAAAACCTGCCACATCCCTGGCTATCTGTTTGTCCTTCCTTTGTATTGCAATTTCTTCTTCTGAGTCACACTGGTGCTTTCGGGCTTGCTTTACAAAAATATTTTCCACTCTTACTTGCCCTGCCTAGAAGGCTGCAGCTTCCAGCATCAACAACGTCCCTTTAGAGGCTATACAGGCCATAGCTGTGGTACTTGAAAGGAAGTGATTTGTCTTTTCCCTTGGAGTGCTTTCCTTTAGTGGTGGGCATAGCTGCAAATGTTGGGTTATGAATAAATATGTTCTGAAAACTTGCCTTGCAAGTATTTCCTTAATCTAGATAATCAAAGTATAAATATGTGTGTTGGATCTACTTAGAGCCAGCAGGCAAGTAGGGACACTTGTAGAGAGCTACTGGATTCCAGAAGAGTGCATGATGTTACGCTTCAAGCCACTTCCTCAGTGTGAGTCCTGGAGTGGCGCAAGTTCACTTACAGTGGTCCCCCGCTTAACGATTACCTCATTAAATGATGAATCCACTTGATGACGAGGTTTTTGCAATCGCAAAACAATGTTTTAATGGGAAAAAATCGCTTAACGATGATCAGTTTCCTGCTTCGGGAACCAATTTTTCGCTTAACGATGGTTTTAAAACAGCTGATTGGCGGCTCTCAAAATGGCCGCCCGCTGTGCAAAATGGCTCCCCACTGTTTTTAGGATAGATTTTTCGCTGTACAGGCACCGGAAAATGGCTGCCCTATGGAGGATCTTTGCTGGACAATTAGGGATTTATCCCATTGGAACGCATTGAACCGGTTTTCAATGCGTTTCAATGGGTTTTTCCCCCCACTTGATGACGATTTCGCTCCACAGTGATTTTGCTGGAACTGATGAACGTCGTCAAGCGAGGCACCACTGTATTGTGGTTTTATCTTTGGAGATGGGAGCCTACGTGACAACAAGGCCAGGATGATTCCTCCTCAGATGCTTGAGATAGAAGCTTTAAAAATTAATTCTGTACATAAAAAGCTGTTGTGTAGTCAATAGTTTGTTTTCATGTGAACTATTCTTTCATTACATTTCAGGATTCAGCAGTGAAAGAAGCTTTACTTCCACTGTCCAGTGGATGGAACTCTTTTTCTTGGACACATTTCAAAGTCAAAGGGGAGTTTGTAGGATTGGAAGCAAGTGTTCCTTTCCCAAGGAGACTGTGTATCAGATAGTTGCTTTGTTGAAGAAGCAATGCACTCTTCTCCAGATTGGAAAAAAAATCCAAAGGAGAGACAGGGACACATTTCTCCACAGAGGGCTTCTTCCCAAGGTGGAGCCACAAAATCCAGAGGAAAGTTGGACTTTGCCTTGGTACCACTGGAAGGCAACAGCTTCACATACAAGCAGTGAAGGAACCAGCAAGCAGGATTCTTCTGACGTCTGCTGAGGATTTAACTGTGAAAACACTTAGACTCTGCTGAAGAAACCTAACTTTTGAACTTAATGAAAATGGGGACAATATTTAACACGATAGTTCCTTTTAAATTATATATTTATTTTAGATACATTGTACATATTATTTATTTAGGGCTTGGTCTTGTCCTGAAATTGAAGGGAGAGACAGGAAAATTGTGCAGTGTAACACTCTAATAAATAACCCTTTGTTATACTTTTTGTTGTGGAATTTTAATTTATAAATTAAAAGATGAAAATAGCTAAAAAGCAACGATATCTAATGATGATGATGATGATGATGATGATGAAGTAATGTGGTTCCAAACCAGTACTTATTCCTGGCTAATAGAAAGTTAGAGGATAAACATCTCCTTCATGGATTGGTGCCTTGTCGTGGCGAAGGGGCTTGAGTACTTCAGAGAAGCTATGGGCTATGCCGTGCAGGGACACCCAAGACGGACAGGTCATAGTGGAGAGTTATTTTATTTTTAATTTCTAAAACAAAAACAAATACAAAATACTTACTGATAGAATCTAAACCACAGTGGGTATGGGGGAGCACTGTGGAGAGTTCTGACTAAATGCGATCCACCTGGAGCAGGAACTGGCAAGCCACTCCAGTATCTTTGCCAAGAATACTCCATGGACAGAAACAAAAGGCTAAAATATATGATGCTGGAAGGTGAGCCCCTCAGCTCGGAAGGCGTCCAACATGCTACTGAGGAAGAGCAGAGGTTAAGTAGCTCCAGAGCTAATGAAGTGGTTGGGCCAAAGCCAAAAGGATGCTCAGCTGCACCTGGAAGTGAAAGGAAAGTCCGATGCTGCAACGAAGAATACTGCATAGGAACCTGGAATGTAAGATCTATGAACCTTGGTAAGCTGGATGTAGTCAACCAGGAGATGGCAAGAATAAACATTGACATCCTGGGCGTCAGTGAACTAAAATGGACGGGAATGGGTGAATTAAATTCAGACGAGTATCATATCTACTATTGTGGGCAACAATCCTGTAGAAGAAATGGAGTAGCGCTCATAATCAACAAAAGACTGTGAAAAGTTGTACTGGGATACAATCTAAAAAATGATAGAATGATTTCAATATAAATCCACTGCAAACCTTTCAACATCACAGTAATATGACTATGCAAAGGCCTTTGACTGTGTGGACTACACCAAACTATGACAAGTCTTTAAAGAAATGGGAGTGCCTTACCATATTGTCTATCTCATGAAAAATCTATATGTGGGACAGGAAGCAACAGTTAGAACTGGATATGGAACAACTTGATTGGTTCCAAATTGGGAAAGGAGTATGAAAAGGCTATATATTGTCCCCCTGCTTATTTAACTTATATGCAGAATACATCATGCGGAAGGCTGGACTGAAGGAATCCCAAAACGGAATTAAGATTGCCAGAAGAAATATCAACAACCTCCGATATGCAGAGGATACCACTCTGATGGCAGAAAGTGAGGAGAAATTAAAGAACCTCTTAATGAGTGTGAAAGAGGAGAGCGCAAAAAATGGACTGAAGATCAACACCAAAAAAGTACGATCATGGCCACTGGTCCCATCACCTCCTGGGAAATAGAAGGGGTCCACATGGAGGCAGTGACAGATTTACTTTTTTGGGCTCCATGATCACTGCAGATGATGAGAGCAACCACAAAATTAAAAAACGCCTGCTTCTTGGGAGGAAAGCGATGACAAACCTAGACAGCATTTTAAAAAGCAGAGATCACCTTGCCAACAAAAGTCCACATGGTCAGAGCTATGGTTTTTCCAGTAGTGATGTATGGAAGTGAGAGCTTGGACCATAAAGAAGGCTGACCGCTGAAGAATTGATGCTTTTGAACTGTGGTGCTGGAGGAGTCTCTTGAGAGTCCCCTGGACTGCAAAGAGAACAAACCTATCCATTCTGAAGGAAATCAACCCTGAGTGCTCATTGGAGGGACACATCCTGAAGCTGATGTTGGGAAAGTGTGAAGGCAGGAGGAGAAGGGGACAACAGAGGATGAGATGGATGGACAGTGTCATCGAAGCTACCAGCATGAACTTGACCCAACTCTGGGAGGCAGTGGAAGACAGGAGGGCCTGGTGTGCTCTGGTCCATGGGGTCACGAAGAGTCGGACACGACTTAAAGACTAAACAACAACAAGAATAGAAAGTTGGACATGTGGGTTATCCATCCAATCTTGTTTCTGTGACTGTTGAACAAGGTTATTGTGGGGAATGTTAATACAGTATGTTAATCGCATTGAATCTTTTTGCATGGGTTTTTTTCCCTGCCCTAGATCACACTTTTGGTGACAGGCTAGGGAGATCGTAAGTGCAGCAGCTGTTCTTCCTGAGTATGAAGGTTAGTTTCCAACAAGGTGACAAACCTATCCCTATTCCTTACCATTTCAGTGGCAGGTGTGATTAAAATTATTTAATGTTCTTTCATCATTAAAAAAAAATTCCCAGAATGGAATGGATACATATATCTGCAGGCATACACCGATAAACATACACATTCATATAAAGGAAAAGAGGAAGACCAAATATGAGACGGGCTTATTCTCTAAAGGAAGTCATAGGCTTGAGTCTTCAGGAGCTGAGCAGAACTTTTGACAAACTCATTCATAGGTTCGCCATAAGTCGGAAGTAACTTGATAGGACATAACAACAACACATGTATATATATCTATAAATATATAATGTACTTTTTTTCTGTTTTACGAGAAGGGCATGTTACCAAGTTGAATAAATAGTAGACTTGGCTGAATTTTTGTCTAGCCAATTCTGAAATGATTTGCTTTTCAGTCCTTGTCATCTCCATTTCCTTACTATTGGCACACATGTATATGAATTAAGATATAAATAGGATCAATTAACCTTCCAGTAGATTTAAACAAATCCCATTTCAAATTAAGTTGTCCTGAGATAAGTAAAAAATTCTCATTCTCCGGAGAGTAGTTGTATGCAGCAGGAAGAAATAGTTGCCAGCCATGTATACCAGACTGAGGTGGGGACTCCGTGGGATGACCATAGAAGAGCCATCCTCCCTTGGGAGTTAGTATGTGTGTGTTGGGGGGGGGGAAGAGCACTGGGTTTGGACCTCTTGTAACAGCTTGGTCGGAAAAGTTGACTCCAGTGCTGCTATATAGTTGTAGTCTGCAGCTGAAGCGAACAGCCTGTTAATAATTCTCTCTCTTTTCTTTAATTCTTCTACCCTCTTGGGCCATGTTAGTCAAAAGGGGCATCTTTCAAATCCACAGTGTGTGGGGAAAGGCTAAAGCATTCACTTTTAAAGGATGTGTTTTGAGTGCTCAAAATTTCGGTTTCTCTCTAGTAGATAGACATCTAGCTGTCTCACAAGAGCTGAAGCCTCACCAGATATATGATGCTCACTATTGATTGTGAACAAATCAAAAGAAAAATGCCCAACTGTACCATGAGAATCTTGAGGATTCTGTGTGACATACAAAGGTGCATGGGGAAATAAGTTCTGTTGGAGGCTGCCTCCACACACTCTTTTTGCATTAGCCCAGTCACAAACTGTTAAAAAAAGAGCAAGTCTCCTCTGGCTTTGTACCATTGAGGGCAAAATAATTCATCCAGGTGCACATGGACTCAGTGTGAAGAGGCACTTTTTGACACTGCAGCTCTTGGCAACTCCTGCTGGCCACCGTCTGGCTGGGATATAGCATGATTTCACTCATGGAACAATAATCATTGTAATTCCTGGCTATAAAAGGCCCCTAAGCTGCTTAGGAGCAAGCAGTTTCTTATACTCAACATTCAGTGAAGTCTGTAGGCACACATTATTTTCTGTGCCTGCTTCACCATTCAAGCTCCCTTTTTCCATACCCTTCTACCCAAACTGGGAGGTCACTTCTGCTCCTTCAGCAGCAACTGCAAATTCCTTGTTTAATGACTTGGTGACATTACTCTTTTCACCAATGGTGAAGCCATCTGGCATTTTTATGTTAATGTTGGCTGTGGGTGGTTAACAATGATGACTGGCCCACAAGATTAGTAATAGGGCATGAAGGCTTTCCCTGTTTCAAACCAGCCAAATATGACAATAGTCAAAGTGTTTACAAGCCAAGGATTTTACATTAGCCTGTGGGAAAGTAAGATAATGATCAAAAGCAGTATTGAGTCCACATTGCTGTTCTCTCTTGAGAATCAGGAGAGAGATAAAGAGGCATTCTCTGTTCTTTCTCTGCATAAGGAATTGGAGGGCTGGTTCAAACAACCAGAGCCAAACAAATAAGGGACAGATTCCTCTACAGAATCATTGTGGATACAAAAAAATAATAATCTAGTATTAGAGACATATGTTGGCCTCCTGGTGGGTCAACAAAAATGCTCATGACAATCTGGAAACAGAAGGGCTTTGCAAACATTTTGGAAGAGGCATGAAACTGACGCAGCATCCAAGATATTCACACTGCTTCCAAAGCCAAAGAAAATCAGGTCTGCAGTGATCAAAGATAAAGGATGCTGGAATCAAGGTTTTGGCTGAAACGTTGGTGAAAATTGCTATATTTCTGAACTTTCTCGAGATCTGAGAAAAAGGGGAAATGCAGATGAGAAGGGGCATAGAGCTTATGGCTAGCTCTAGAAACTAGATGATGCTTTTGCAAGGAATCTCGAATTCAGCTAGATGCTTGGCACAGGCTGGTGGTATGCAGGAATATATTGCAAGCCTTTTCAGTGATTTCTGCCTGCTCATTGCTGATTGCATGGAGCCTCTATAACACTCAAACATAGAATTACAGTCCACTGGAAGATGATGTCTGTTCCAATGGATAGCTTACACTCCTGGCTACCATGTGAATGGCTCTGTGAGTCTTGCCCTGTCTCCAGAGGATCAGGGTTTCATTTCAGTCAAGCCCTATCATCTGCAGCTCCACTTGCATCCTTATTCCTAGGGGAGAGAAGAATGTGCCTGATCTGTTGATCTCTGTGAGAAATCCTCTTTATGAGGAAGCTCTGAGGGTTACTGAAGTTTCCTGATGCAATCAAAAATCTTACAAAAGAGAAAATCAAAAGGGTTGGATGTTTTCAGAGAGTTTGGGGATAAAGACCACAATAACAGAAGTCCTATTGTAATATATATTATAGGCCAGAGAAGGTACCACCAGAGAATGGCAGGTAGTTAACAAGCAGGGAAGCTGCTAGAGACAAAAAGCAGAAGAAGGAAATTTTATCCATTTTTACC